GTATATACTAAATAGAAATATATTTGGTATAATCAAATACCAAATATAATCAAATAAGTCAAAGTGTACATTTTTATTTGGTATTTAATTTTTTATTATTAAAATCTTTTTATTATACTTACCTTTTTAAAATAAAAAAAATAAATAAATCAATTACATAAATAAAATATTATAATACCAAAATAGTAATGACATTTAATGCAGTTGATTTTTCTGGATAATAAATGTAGTAAATAGAATATCCTTTTATATAATATAATACGAAAATAGTAATGCAATAAATGCTGTTGACTTTTCTGGCTACTTAATTTGGTAAATAGTACCCCCTTTAATATAAGTATAGATTTAACTAATATATGACTTTTTCTAATTTATATTGGACTGTTAATTAATTATGTATTTAAATAATATCCAAAAATAGTTCTTTAATCAAATCCTAAAAAAATATCTGGTGTTTCCTAAATTATATCCAATTGTTACTTAATTAACATTTAACTAATATCCAACATTTTGCTAAATTATATTCGGCTGTTAATTAATTATTCACTTAACTAATATCCAAATTAGTTATTTAATCAAGTCCTAATAAATATTCAGTTACTTAATTGATTATTTATCTAAAATTGAAAATAATAGGATTTATTAAAATAGCCACTTTATGCTTAACTAGTACGGTATCCGTGCGATGCACGGGAGCATTTATTACTTACTTGTTCTTTTAAAAGATAATTTTGCAGTTAAATTGTCTGATGACATTAAAAATATCAAGAAAATAATATTTGTATGTCTTTGAACACTTTCTTATGTACAATATTCTTGATTTGATTATTTGACACGTAAAGTGCTACATGAGTGTTAAATTTTATTAAAAATTGCGTATTATTAGTTAACAAAGTAGATTTTAAAAAAATTAAGGGATCTTAGTTATTATACAAAATTCTAGTAGAGAAAAGAATAATTTTTTAGGGATTTTTATGCCATTTTATTTATTTTCTAAATCTAGTTCAAAATTTTGACAAAGAAAAATTGAAAAGAATCATTAGTTTTTCCTAAAATGAAACCAATTTTCCTAACAATACATCGACTTCTTTACCAAATAAATTGATCCGAATATTTGGTTAAAACAAAGTAAAAAGAATCATCAATTATTCCTAAAAATGAAACCGAGATTTTCTAACATTGCAATAATTTTTTTTACCAAACAACTTGAATTAAAATTAGTTATAACAAAAAATCAAAATAATTTGTTAACATTTATGTAACTATTTCTTTTCTTAAAAAAAAATTGATATGAACTTACCAAAATTGCGTTCAAAATATAGTAAGAAAAAACATAAGAATCTAAAAAAATCGGTGCATTCAAATTTTGAAAATTTGCACATGGTTTTCTCTTGTAAAAGTTGCCCATGATTTTGATTTTGATTTGAATTTTTTTTTTAAATAATTTGATAAGGTGTGACTTTAAATATCAATGATGAACCGATTTTTTTATAAAAAAAATGTGGATACGATTTTGAATGTACATTTTGTCCAAATCTCAATTTTGATTAAAAATAAAATTTGCACGTGGTTTTATCCGATTTGCGCACATTTTGCAAAAGAAAAAATTATTCAAAAAAATTGGAAGAATTTGTTAAGAATTCTAAAACTATTTGTTTAATAAATTTGTATCCAATTTGCACGGTTTTTAAATTAATTTGTATTTATAATTATTTTTGTAAATAAGTGACACATTTTTTGCATAAGAATCTCTAAATTTGTTACAAAAAAATAGGATTCAAATTTTGGAAAAATAAAATAAAATAAAAAATAGTACGAAAAAATAGAATTTAAATTTTGCCATCAGAATCTCCAAATTTGTTACCAAAAAAATAGGATTCAGATTTTATTACTAAAAATTCACATGTGTTTTTTTTCTAAATTTCTACAAATAGTAAGTCAAACATCATTTTTTTAGTCAAACTTTCTATTAATGTATTTTTCCAACAACCTCTTTATATATAGATAGATTAAAATCTCCATCACAGACCTCAAGTACAGTAAAATCACCATCTAAATGACTATTTATAACATCACAGTATACCAAATACAATTCAAATTATATGCAGTAAATATAATTAATTAAAATCGACTGGATTTTTACCATACAAACGCTCACTTTATACCAAAATTGGATTTATTAATAAAGCACATTTCATACTAAAAAAAAAAAGAAAAAGAAAAAAATGGTCATCACATACCTCAAATAAAATCGCCTAATTTATACCAGAATAGAATTTTATTAATTTTACAACTTTATGCCATAAATCGATTAATTAATTTCCAGATATAGTAAATAGAGTATTTTTTGGACGGAAACATCTACTTTTTAAGAATATTCAGATCTTTTTATATTGATATAGCCATATTGTCACCTACCGGACCAAGAACCTTCTACTCGACCGGCTAAATACTCAGACCGTTCACATGACATAATACTCCCCTCGACATATCTAAGTCGACCTCCACAAAGTCGACTCCTCAGCAAAACAACTACAAGAGAAGGGAGAAATCCATGCAAGTCGACTCCTCGAGGTCGACTTCCTGCAGTCGATTCCAGAAGTCGACTCCCATGCAAGAATAACCGAGCGTAGTCTCCGAATCTTCATGCGATCATGAGTCGACCTCTCAGATCTCGAGGTCGACTTCTTGTGCCTCGAGACCGAAAACGTGATGACAATTCATCACACTTGCAACATACTTGAGGCTCTGCATTCTTCAATGGATAAGAAGGAATCCTGTGATGACTTAGCAGCAAGGGGAGACAAACCGACTGGGGCATTTCGGACCTTTTATGTAAGTCAACCAGGACATTTGGAGTACTCCAAGTAAGTGTTTCCTCCTATATAAAGGAGGTGAGGTAACCCTAAACCCTAACTTCCATCCATTCATACTCTCCTCTATAGTTGCTACTTCTCTCAAAGCAGCTTCTCTTCATCTCTTTCATACACTGACTTGAGCGTCGGAGGCTCTACGCTGGAAACACTTCTGGTGTTGAGTTCTTGCAGGTGTTTACGACGGTCTAGCAACGATTTGAAGGCGGTTCAAACAGATCGGAGCTCACAACAACCGGTTTACTCCAGATTTGGAAGTGGACCCATCATATATATATATAAATATGGTTTCAAATCTTCCGTAGTTACTCGTATGATAAAGTCAAAATGTTGAAGTTTCCATAATTTACTAAAGTGTTTTTGGTATTTTTATTTATCAAATATAAATATATGATTAATAATAAAATTTAGTTATCAAAATCTACATTTTTTCCTCTCTTGCGTAAGCCTTCAAAATTATTTCAAAATATAATTTTAAACTCTACTTAACAAATGAGCGATTTTAATATTTTTTTGGTTAATGATAAAAAATGGTAAATAATAATAATAATAATAATTACTGTTATTAGATTACTTCAATTTTCTGTATTTACTTATTATTATTTTTTTTCAACACGAAAATTAATATATTAAAACTCATAACGAAGTTCTCCGGAGATCAACTGATAACATACATTTCCATCCTAGCAACCTAGAATAGAAAAGAAGACGGGCATTACAAAATGACAACACCCTACACAACCGAAAATGGTTAAACAAACACCACAACACTAAACTAAGCATAAAAGTCATATATACAAGAGTTGAAACAATTTTGAAAGGTGATAATGTCTTCCATAACTCCTGCCAAAGTAGGCTTAGTTGCTGTTGAAATTTGCAGTTGACAGAGAACCTCTTCATCATTCACATGGCATTCAATGTCCTTCCATTTCATCTTGATAGCTTCTGCCAGGGCTCCTCTCACTCCTATCAAAATAGCATCTTGAGAGTCCTCTGCCCCATCTGCCTGTTGAGTTCTTACTCCAACAACTTTGCCATCCATCTGAGCATCATATTTCCACTCCACATTTCCTCCAGGTAGACATAGAGCACTAACTTGTAAAATCACAAGTCCTACCCTCCTTGAAAATAGTCTCCTTTTGTACTCTGTGTAGGATTCTTCTGATAATGTTCCCTCACTCCCAAATGGATATTTTCTCAGTTCTAACCAATCCTTCTTTGCACCTTTCACAATTTTCTCCTCAGCAAAAGATTCATTTCTGAAAATCTTGAAGTTTTCATAATCAACTAATACTAGTGTTTTTAGTAATTCTTTTTGTCAAATAATGATAAATCATAAATTAGTCATAATTTTCAATATAATATAAAATAATTATTATGTTTCATGGAAAGCTAAAATTTGAATACAGTGTAAGATGTTTTAGTGTAATGCCCCGTGTGATTATTAGATTTTTTTTTATTTTATTTTAATTAATGGCATTTTATTTTAATATTTATATGCTTTGATTATGTGATTATATATTAGATTATTTTGTGGATAATATGATTATATAGCTCGCTCGATTTTATTTTTATCGATCAACGTTTGAATTTTTTGTTTTCGGTTATAGTCGGATTTTAAGTCCGATTTCGATTCCGTAAAAATTATTTTTCCTCTCTTATCCTCCTTCAATCCTTGAGCCATATTTCATGCCGATATTATTAGGTTCATAGGATATTTTTCTAAGTCCAAATCATGTCTTAATATCATTAGTAAAAGTCAAATCCATGTTAGCCATTATTTATGTTAATGATAGTAGCATGTGCATTGCAATTGTTTATTTCTCATGTAAGACTTTGTTCCCTCATTCCCTCATCACCATGTGCACGACCAAGAGCATTCCACCAGCCTCTAAGTGCTCCAATCCATTCCATCACATTCTAGGGAATCAAGCCTAAACTAGTCTAAGTTATGTTAGTAAAGCTCAATTATCATTTTTACCTCAAGTAGTCTAGCATGTGCATGAGTTATTTTAGTCTTATGTTGTAAAACCTTGTTCCTTTGTCCATGTGAATGTTTAGACCTTTGTAAACCCTTGTATAATCAGCCATGTGAGTTTAGTGCAAGAGATTCTCCATCAAGACATCATGTGCACATGGGAAGAGTTGATACTTTGTCTCCCACATGTTTTCTCTAAGGTTGACCAGCTTCACCATTTTTATAACCTCAATTACAGCTGAGAATGGTCTCATTCGTGCCTTAGAATGCTGGTGAAAATCCATCCCAAATTCTCCCTCCATAGCCAAAGCCGAGAGGTTACAATATAAGAACTGAGAGTAAAGTTCAAGGAGTACCGAGTGCATGTTCGTAGTATATTCGAGTTCTAGCAATCCATTTTCAATATTAACAGCAAACTTACGATTCCTCCTCACTCCTCACTCACTCATAAACACATTAAGTACACCAAGTTCCATAGAAGGAAGCCCAAGCTGAAGCATACACCTCACAAAGTTCAAGCAAGGACGAGAGTTTCGAGTTGTAGTAGAACCGAACTATCTTGCATTTTTCTTGAGTTTAAGGAGGTATTTAAGCTGAACTTTTAGCATGTTTTTAGAAAAGTTAAGTTTCTTTAATGTATGTTATAATGTGCTAAAGTGCTAGCCTTTAAGTACTTATAATCATGCTATGAAGTAAGAATTATTTCCAGCTCGCATGTATGTTATATGTTCTCTATTTTGATGTGATTTTTACCTATCCATGTAAGACCTGGGAAAGTATGCTTTATATGGAGATTTCTTTAGTACATAGGAACAAGAATCAAGTCATTTGGCCTAGTATAACTCGAGATATAGATTTTTAAAGTTTATCATTCAAGCTGAATTTTATGTGCCTGTTTACAACAGCGATTTTAAACTTGAATAATTCGAGATATATGCATGATAAAATTATGAAACTTTTATGACATGTCTATATATTTGTTGAGAGAATGCCTGCCAAATCTCATGATTTTAGGTTGAGAAATGAATGAGTTAAAATGTATAGACCGCATGCATGTCAAGATAATTTTATATGCAAGAATACTCAGTACACGTTGGAGATTTTAGTGTCCAACTTTTATGTAAAATTCTCACATGAGTGATGAACAATTTGACCAAGTTTCAGCTTAATATGTGGAGTATATGATTTTATAAAATTGTTTGAAATCTCGCATGTAAATAGTATATAATTTCGTATTATGATTAGGACATGAGTTGAATGGGCGGATTATATGTATTGAATGTTTAATGTTTAAACTCGGTGCTAATGTCATTATTTGTCAAAGTAGTCTTCAGAAAAGTTGTAGATAATTGAGTTATCTGCCATGTGGTTTTTGAATCTCATTAAAAGCATGTATGTAGCTTCGGTTATCTTGCAATTACTGAAGTCATGTCAGCTGTATGATTTCAATTGTTGACTGCAACTCTTTTATAAATGTTTGATGAATTATCTCCTAGTAGATGACCTTATCTGTTATCGATGTGTTTATAAGAGTTGTAGAGCATGTCTTAGGATTCATATGCAACTAGAATCATGTTTATATGACTTATGTGCTGCAAGTTGTATTTATTTCAAAATCGCTGCGCGGGTTAAGTTTTGAAAAACTCATGTTGTGCTTTCGAAAATAAAATTTACTTTTTAATACATGCTTATATGACTTATATGGGCTGAGTTGGACTAAGTGATGATGGTATGAATCTTAGATACCTTAAATTAGTTAATTCTTGTGTCGTATAGTAATTTATAGGACTATCATAATTATTGTAGGTGTTTGACGAGCCGAGCTCTCTACCTACACGTGTTTATCGTGCAATCTTTTGCTTCAATCCAGGTCGGTTTATTTAAAATGCTATGTGATGAATTATTTGTATCTTGTTGTGATGGTATGATCAATGTATGCATGTGAACCATGTAGCCTGCCGATGTGTGCTGTTTCGATCGTTGGTACGGTTGTCCCCGTCGATGTAATACGGTTGTCCTTGCGAGGCAAGTCTCCTTATGTCCTGATAGGTCGTGTCCTTGCGTGGCATGTAAGCCCTATGAAAGGCCGTGTCCTTGAGTGGCATGTACTCCCACCGTAAGGGTAATGAATCCCATTTCCGTGGTTAATGAAAGATGTGTACACAGGAGTAATGTTAATGGTGTGAATAGGAGATGAGACAGGATTAATTGATTTATGTTCATGCTGCGACCATACCCTTTTATTTGTTATAAATGATTTATTGCATAGTGGTGAGCACCACAGATTCTAATTGTGCTCATCCCCACCTGATTTAACATTTCAGGTTGAACAGTGGCGAGCATGACGACAAGATGACGAGTGGCTGGTCTTATTTATGTTTAAATTGCTTCCGCTTTATTATGAATAAGTTGAACTGGTTATGAACATGTTGATTCCTTTCAGACTATGTCGTTTGAAAATGTTGGATTTCAAAATTTTGATTTGGTTCGTATTTCTGAACTATGTTTGGATATTCATGATGATTGTGCTATTGAATAGCATGTTAATTATTGTGCTTTGGGACAATGAAGTCCATGTGATAAGCCGGGTAATGAATCCCTGTGAGGTTTCAATTGTGACTTGAAACAAGATAATTGCCAATTTTAAAATTGATTTCGAGAAACGAATTTCGAAAATGTTATCCTGACTTTTGAATAAGCCACGGATTATTTTTAAAATCAAAGTGGGGCGTTACATTTAGGTTCTTACTTATTTGATCAATATTTAAATATTAAAAAATAATATTTTTTTTTTAAATTTAACAACTATTTCGATTTTCATCACATTTTTTAGGCAAACTATAAATTTCTAATGAAAAAAAAACCTCATAAATCTACATCTATCTATATATTATCAAAGAAAAAAAGTCTATTAATCAATTGAATAACCTTTTTTTTTTCTATTGTATTACCAAGTAAATATTTTGATCATATATAATACTAAATACCTATTGGTTATTTTATCAAAATTTTATATAAAATAGTAAATTAATTATTTTTTATAATTGTTTTAGTACTTATAGTGAACATATAAAGCTAAAAAATTTTATTATATATATATATATATGTATATATATTTTCAATATCTTACTTATATATTTTATATCAATATATGTTAAACGGGTTTATCATTCTAATAATGCAACATAGTCCGAATATACCATGTCAACGTTTTTATTGAATGACAACTCTTATTTTTTCATTAATGCTTTTAAAAATTAAAAAGAAAATATAAACATCACGTATGTCTTCTGCTGAATGCACTTTTTAAAATTACATTAAAAAATTTCAAAATCTTAAAAGTATTAAGTAGAAAGAAAAAATCCATATAAAGATGTACATATAATAGTAGTGATTTATACAAAACTGATTTTTTAAATTTATCTTTACAGTTTTGTTGTAAATTATTTTATTATGTTGTGTGTCACCATAATATATCAGATTAATATGTACTTTACTGGTAGCTTTAGGTTTCAATCCATAATCAGTACTAATAATTTAAAACTAGCAAATAAAAAAATATAGATATTTTTATATAGACAGAATCGGTCGACATATTCATAATAAATAATACTTTCTTTAAATTTTTATTTATCTTAATAAACTTAAATTTCATGTAATTTTTAATATAATTAAATTGACTCTGTTCGTGCACGAGGAAAAGAGTATTAGTAGTGGTGTATAGACATACAAAAATGTTACCAAGTAATACCAACAGTTACCATTAGTTAACTGAATAAAAAAAGAAACGAAAAAGAAATAATAGCAGTGCTCTAAAGATTATTAGGGACATGTAGGACGAATAAGGGATAATTAATTTATCGAGGAATGAGAAAGAAAAGAAATTGGATTTTTTTTTTTTTATTTTTTTTATTTTTTTTTTTGGTGTCATAAAAGCAGGAAAATACAGTCAACTTGAATGATCTCCTCTTAGAGGAGAGAGCAAGTGTAGCCTGGAGGTGGAGTCTTGCCACAGGTGACAAGAAGCTGTAGAGCAATTGGGACATATATTTTGAGATTCAGAGTTTTGAGCTTGAGAGTGGTGCACAAGCAAGCCGCGGCCTCCAACTCCACAAGCCCAGATAGTATTGGGCAGCACTTATTCACCGCCGGCCCAATGTGGACGAGCCCACCAAGCAGATCCACGCACGCTCCCAATTTCAGGGTGTCGATGGGGCAGCCGCCGTTGGCCGGCGGCAGTTTGGGCACAGTCGTCACGGGTGGCTTAGGGTTTACTGTGACAGGCGGCACGGGCAATTTGGGCACCACAACAGGCGAACAGGTGGCACAGTTGGTTTGGAGAATGGGATCTGCGGCTGAGGAAAGAGAGAGCATGGAAATGAGGAGAATTGCTAAGATTTTGGCGGACTCCATAGCTATTTAATAATTGATTGGAGGTACCAAGGACTAGTGACCTCACACTCTGATATTTATATACAGGTGGGATTGGAGGGGATTGGGCGACTGCCCTAACAAAAAACCAAAGCACGTGAACTTGCGGAACTGACAAAATTTGCTAGTTGTCAAGTACCATGCAACTTAATCAATATTTTTGTGATATGAATACATCCTGAGATGTTGGACCGGTCTACAAAAAGAAAAACCGTATTGCACTGGGATTGACTCGTAGCATAACTCATGTGTCGATCTAATATTGTTGAGGGTTTAAAGTTGTTCACTATTCTAGTTTGTTTCATTGAGTATGTACGTAGGGAGTTTCTACTGCAGATTCCTTAGAAGAGTTTTCGATTTATATGCCAAAGGGGAAGATTGTAAGTTCTGAAGATTGACACTAAATCAACGAACCTTCATCTGTCCCCATATTCAGACGATTCAAGAATATTTAAGGGAAGTCTTTCATTATATTTTAGATTAATTGTAATTACTTCATTATATTGAAAATGAGCAATTTTTATATTATTTATGGCAAGACTAATTGAAGGCAATCGAGATTCACCTTCCATGTGCACAAGATAAAACCGCGGATTTGGACCTTCCAAAAGAAGAGTCAACCGAATCAATCAAGGAATTGCCATATGTGAACGTGACTTGGCAGTAAAGTTTTGGGCATGACTTACCATATGGGAATTAAGATAAAAGGACGGCGATACACTTGTAGAGGAGGACTTTTGATCTTTTGTTTTTTACGGAAGTTCAAAGTTGAGAAGAGAGCTTCTAGCAGTCTAAGTGTTTTTTTATTTTATTGAGTGAAAAAGACAATCGTGAGGAGTTGATTGTGAGGCATAAACACAGAGTGATCAAAGGTTCATTCTATTTTAGTTTGAGGGACTCAAACGAGAAAACCACAAGGGATTTGTGGTCGGATAAGTAGTGGTGTGGATTATTGTTCAAGTAGAGTGTAGAGGAAGTCTGCATTGTAAACCCTTGAATAATGTATGTGATGTTCGCATTAATGAAAGAGATCTGAAGGGAGAGCGAGACGCTCTCCTGAAGGTTCATTTTTAAGTAATACTACTTCCGCATTTGCACGAATCTTCTTTAGTTTCTGTTTCGTTTAGTTTTGTGCAATTCTGGGTATTTTGTATATCAATATCAAACTTCAGAGCCCTATTCCTAATCTTCTAAGGGTCCCTACTGTAGCTCTATATATACATCATTAAGCTCACGAGAAGAGATCATCACAATTAACGTGAAATTGGCCATCCCCCCTCTATTCTCTCTCTAGATCTCATTCAAGCTTTATCTTCTTCTCGTTGCTCCAACGGTACGAGTTGAAGAGGTGTGTGAGTAATACAGTTGAAGATCCAAAAGTAATCGAGACCCGGCGATCATCTACAGAAGTCGACGAATCTCACCCGAAGGTCAAGATCCGCTGACCCCGACCATCGCGACCAGTCAGACACCTCTTCAACCAGTCAGAGGCGACGTGACGCCGCGACACGACTCGGCGAGCCCCGCGACGCGATCGGCGTTCACCAACAGCCACACGACCGGCAATCCGACACGACTCGATCGACCCCGTCATCTGTTCGTGTGATTCAGTTCCGTTCGTGTGCTGTTCCCCGTTATCCTGAATTCATCAGATTCAGAAAAATTTTAAGCCGTAAGTTTTCGACGTCAAACCTTTAGATCCGTTGCGCATATGTTTACATTTTCTATTGAATTCGTAACTTGTACATAACGAGATCTTCATAGATCCCAACATGTACCCCCTTGGCCGCACCCAGGGGGTAGGTCTCCGAAGTCAGGGAAATAGGAGGGGCAACCTGGGATTGTTAGATAGATGTAAACCTTTACCAAGGAGGAATGGGGTACCGATTGGTCGACCAGTGCCCCGTGTCAGAAGGTTATGGAAGTTGGTGACCTGATGATAGGGGAGCCGACGATCGAAGCCCCGGAGAACGGCAACCATAACTATGAGGGTCCTAAAGTAGCAAAATTCCTTCTCGACTTATTGCCATTACCATAGAGATTATGGACACACGACTGATGCCTGCAAGCAATTAATGGAAGAGATCGACTAATGTAATTCATTAGCCAAGATAAACAAATTTAAAATTACACTACAACCTTTCACGATAGTTTGTTAAATCTATCTAGGTTGTGAACCATACTTTATATTTTACAAAGAACCGGTAATAAGTTCTAGTGTTCGGCACGTCGAACCATATTAATTCAATGTAAAATAACATAACAAACACTTTGACTAAACATGATTTATCATTCAAAAACACTGTAACTACACTTGTAACCGAGCCGAGCTTTTAACATACAAAACCATTAGAATGAGCTATATTAGTTCTGACATAATAGGAAAACTATGTTTGGACTGGAGAATTCGTACTAATGACTTTGTTGTTAAATCAACACACACATGTCGATAGGTGGATGTGTGGATGCATGTGTGTAATCCAACAATACAAAAGACTTAGTGTGTATAAATATGATCAACTTTTCTGAATAAACTCTTGCGTGAAGTTGTTTGAGTGTTGGAATGTCACGACGCCTGACGTGATAAACTAGTCTCATAAATTTTATTTGACATTAATTAAGTGGTCTATAAAGCATCTGCAACGTAAATTAGTCTCCTAAATAAGGATGTCAATAGGCCAGGTCGAGCCGGGTAGTTCTGGACTCGAACCTGGCCTACCGCCCGGCCTGGCCCTGCGACCTGCAGTGGGTCCGGCGGCTCGGGCCCATGACTTAGCCCATTTTACGCAAGACTGACCAGCCCTGCCCCATTTTTATTTTTATTTATTATAACAATCACTAATTATATTATGAATTATATATAATATAATAACTATATTGTGAAAGGTACAAATATATATTAGAATATTTAAATTGCAAAAAATATATTAAATATATTACCACTTATTCGGGTCAAGCAGGGTCTTGGACCTAAACCTGCCTTATTTAATAAATGGGTTGGACCCGGCCTGACTTGTTTTGAAAATACTCCATGCCAGGTGGGCCGTGCTAGGTCAGATTGACACCCTTACTTTTAAGAAGTACAGACACTTGTTCTTACTATACAAATTCAAACGCACAAATCTAAAATTGACGCTTGCATTAACGCAATTCATTCAATCCAGAAGAACATCTCCAACCGATCTGCAAACGCATAGGTTAACGCAAATATGAGAGAATCTTTCCTTCAATCGGTAACAACAAATTGCGTATTTGGTGTGTTTATCCTCCGACCAATTTGCGTTTGCACTTTTCACAAACGCAAAAATTTTGTTGATATGCAGTTTTGTCCTGATACTTTGATTCATCAATTTTTTGCCCTTGTTTAATTCAAATGTATTTTTTTATGATTTTTATTTTAATTTCTTTGTATGTAAAAAACATCAATCTATATTTTTTACTACATATTTTTTTCCTATCAAATGTAAGATAGTAGTATGGTCTAATTTATAAATTTATTAGATATGTGAGAACTATTGAAAAGTCATACCCTCGAGACTAGTGTAATTTTTAATGTTTATTAAATGTTAATCTGATATTGCTTAGTTTTATTATTATATAGTTTATTTTATTACATATTTTCCAATAGAATACATATAATAACAAGAATTTGTAAAATTGATAAATATGTTGGTAATATTAAAAAATAATAAAAATTAGTGAGAGAATATTTTAAAATTATTTTTTTGGATTTGAGAATGAATTTTTAGCCTGAAAAAAAATTACTATTTGATGTAAATGAGTTTGAAAAATATGTTTTTCAGTTGGAGACGGTCCAAGATTTCAGATTTTACAAGTTCTAAGTAATATATGAATAAATAATAATGTGGCAATTGCCACCACCCTCTACTGATAATATCGGAAGCAAATGCAAAAGCACATTAATCATATCGACAAGCAACAATAGATAAGTTCAAAAATAATAAAATGAAGGTCAAAGTTGTAACAACAAACCATATATTCAATACGTCGTCACATCTGTGCTTTTCAGTGGAAATGTATAAAAAATAAAAAATTGTTACAAGGTACAAGCCAAAAGAAAAAGACGAATTGCCGGAGCAGACAATGTCGTTGGCCAAAACAGGTACAGAAAGTTTGAAAGTTTGCACCAAGTCATGGAAGCAACTACAATCCACACAGCTATCTTAAAAAAGATTGACAAACCAAAGAATGCATACATATATACTTTAGCAAAATACATAAAAATTGAATTCACTCTATCTCACCTTCACTCGCACAACATACAAATTATGATACAACCTGTCACCTTATTGAAATTATCTGCAGAGCTTAATCAAAGTGCCATTTTATAATCCTCTCAACAAAAAAAAAAAAAAAAAANAAAAAAAAAAAAAAAAAATCCTGAGAAGGGCATTTGTTCAGATGAGGCCTGCATTGTAAGGATTGTACGGTTGCTGAACGGTCATACCTTGTCCTGAATAAGGTTGGCCAGTGGCAACACCATATGGGTTTCCAAAAGGATTCCCCTGCTGTTGTGATGGGCCAGCCATCATCATCATCTGCTGATGTGGCGTAAGAAAACCGTGTTGTTGGTTATTGTACATCTCAACAGAAGGTGTGGTGGAGTAAAACGGGCCGGGCCCCATCATGGGATTATTCATGCCACTTTGTTCCCAAGGATTGTAGCTCGTGTTTTGGTTGTTTCTTCTCATGGCATCGTCATACAGGCTTTCGAGTGTGAGTTTATCCAGCCCTCCACCCTTTTGTGAAAATTATAAGGAAAATAAATGTAAAGAATTTTATGGGGTTTCATCAATCGTGCGAAGTTTCAACTGCAGGGAAAAAAAAAATGGGGAATATTATACCAGTTTGCTGGCAGCAGCAGTGGACTCGGTGGAGCTTGGAGCAGTTACAAGGGCTAATTCCCAGCCTGAGGTCTGATTGGACAGAACTGGCTCAGTATGTTGAGTGCCACCTACAATGGCAAGATTACTTTATCAATTAATAATTTCAATGCTACCCTTGAGCTTTCACCTAACGTATAGGTGTGTGTGTGTGTGTGTGTATGGGTGTGTGTGTGAGAGAGAGAGAGAGTAATAATAATAGTTACCCTTGTTCTCGGTGGAGTTAATCGAAATTTTTAACATCATCAAGTTTCGTTTTTTATTGTTACTAGTAAAGTGCATGTGCATCGCTCACGTGGTACACGATTTATATCTTTTTGTGATTTCAAATTATCTTTTTATTTATGTAGTTCATATAACTTTTTTTTTTTTTCATTTAATCAAAACAAAAGAAGTGCATTATGTAATGAATTATGTCAAATATATTAAAGTTGAAACATATTTTTCAAACGTAACTTCTCTATAGTAATCTTGTTTTGTTAAAAAAAACAAAAAAAGAAAAAAATACTTTAAGCGAAATTGCAAGATATGCTTATGCAAAAATTAGGCAACGACCTCGTCAATAATTGAAAAAAGAAATGCTCACATGTGAAAAAAATATTTGCAATTTCATTAGTTTATGGACTTTTGTACAACCGCGAAATTTAATGGGCAAAACTATGTGTCCTACTCACTTATATATTTTGCAATTTTGTCTTTTCCTAAATACTTTTGCTTATATTTTGCTTTAGAGTCTCAATATCGTCCTTGTTATCCTTGTGAAATAATTATTAGTAGTGTTGTAATTTTTTAAAAACATTGTCACACTCTTCATTTTGCTTTCATCCTTTTTGAACAATTATAGATATAGATTATTGCTTCAAGTATCACTTGTGATCATCGCTTTTCTAATATCGATTCACAGTTAATCAATTTTATTTGATGAAATTGTTTTTCTTAGTCTATTTTTTTATTTTTTATTATTTTTATTGATGAAATTTAAAAACCATAATTCAATTGATATTTGCTAGGCGAATCTTTAAAACTTGCCCATATTATCATTTTAGCTATGTGACATAATATTCATAAAAATTTTTGTTCAATTAATCTAATTATAACTATAGTTGTTTGAATGAATTATATATATATATATATATATATATACATATATATAAATTCATGTTATGGTTAGAAAGAATTTTAATTGGACATAAAAATCACATTAGTTATTCAATAGAATATTAAAATCACAGTATTATCAATATTTTAGTTAATAATATTTAGAATCGTTTTATTTTAATTATCTAAATTTATCAAATTGTGTATTATTTTGTGAATCTACAATTAAGGATTATGTATTATGTGAAAGAATTAGTGCTTGGCAATTGAATCAATTAATATTCTCATAGTTAATGAATTAGTAGTCCATTTCTGTAGCTGACATCATGCTCATGATTTGGGTTGATATAATTCACGTATTCTAATATGAGAAATGCTATAGGTACATAATATTGTACGGAGGGATGTACATATGGGGCCGACCAAAAATAAAAAATCAAGTGGACCTCACTCCGAGTGTTATCTACACCTCTATGTACATTTAAATGTACTTCTACCATTTTTCTTCTAATATATATGCATATAATCATCTTATTAGTAATATATATAGCCTATGTTTGGTAAAACTAGCTTATAGCCGATAAGGTAGCTTATAACTTATATGTAATTTATGGCTTATAGCTGAAAAGCTAGCTTATATGATAATCAGTGGGAGTCCGAAATTCCAAATTTTCGTTACTTTTCAAGCCCTTTCAATATCATTATGGGTGGGAGAATCTTTTTTCATTAAAATAGGTAATGTGATTAGAATTATGCCATTCAAAAATACTATAAGGGCTTTTTTTAGTCGATTTATTTTTTTTACAAAAACTACTCCTTTTATAATAATAGTAAAGAAAAGATATTGATGTCCCATATAATTTATCAAAACGATAAAAAAAAATAATAAAAAATCTGGGGGCTAGTTGTAGTAATTCGAAAAGCTGAAGAGTCAAATTGTAAGATAATTGAAAGGAAGTGGAAACACTATTGATCTTCCCTTTTTAGGAAAAAAAACTGTAAGGTACTTGATGACATCAGCAAATTATGTTGGGTTAAGTAGCTATCGATTAACCCACTACCTATTGATGATGAAAAAAAAAAAAAAAAAAAAAACTAGCTATTGATGAAGGGAGGTTTCTCCAATGTAGTAAGTCTTTTGTAATTGTAAGGTACTTGATGAAATCAGCAAATTATGTTGGGTTAACTAGCTCTTGATGCAGGGAGGTTTTTTGCAGTTCTCAAATGTAGCTCAAGTCTTTTGTAAGTAATCGAACATCAGGGAGGTTTCTGTAATTCACAAACAAGAAAAAAGAGTAAACTTACCAACCGGCACGATGGCTAAAGCCAAAGCATTTTTCTCATCCAACTCCGAGGCAGCAGGACTAGGCTCGTGTAGACCCTATTTATTTTGTGCAGAAAAAAATTGATCAATTAGGATTAGAAAGTTGAAGAAAAAAAAAAGACTAAAGGAATCTAGAATTAACCAGCAAATCCGGTGCAGATTCTGAAGTAGGAGCTTCAACTTTGACAAGTTCAGGCTCAGGTTCAGGTTCGGGTTCAGGTTCGGGCGGGGATTGTAGATGCTCTTCTTTCTTCACCTCCGAACTATTTATGTACTCTATTGCTAAAACTGCTTTGGGCTTATCATCAGCCTGTTGCATTTTTTTTAAATATATACGATGCATTTAGTTAAATCAACAAAATCTGAAACTTTTCCTACTGTAAGACCAAATGTTTGTTGTGAACATGAATATACATTATATACATCTAACAGCAAAACCTCACTAGAAGTATTTTTCTTTGGGGTGAATCACAACAGGCCAAATAAGATGCCAGCTCAAAAACATAACAGAATGACAGTAACACATTAGAGTGATGAATTATTGGTCGTGAATTAAGAAATATGTCATGACCAAATGAAATTGGTGGAAAAATATAGAGCTATTGTATACGAAACCACTCAATGAGGATGCTTAAATAGAGCCAAGTATTTCAGTTGTACCCACAAACTAATTATAGAGTAACAGACAAATACACCAAAAACCTTGAACAAGTTTGGAGAGAACGTACGAGATCTTTGCGAGCTGTGGACATGCGTGGTGCTTCTCTAACATACTCTTCCATGGCTTGCACAAATGATGCAGGGGGCTTTCAATACAATTTATCACATAACAAAAACAAATAAATTAATAAATAAGAATATATACATGTTTTAGGTCAAGTAAACATTTACGTAAGAATACCCGGAAGTTCAAACCTGTTCAATCTTGATGTATCGTTCTCCACGGCCAACGTCAAGGGTTTTACATATTTCGTAGAATTCAGACAGTCTATCAGCCTAGATGATTTCATTAAAGAAAAATATTTTTTTTAAGAAAAATGACTCATTTGACAGCAGCAAGTGATATTGCTAAATCCATGCATACAATATTTTTAATGGTGTACCTGCAAGCCGGCTCTTCTATATATATCCAAGGCCTTAAGAGCATCGTGCCTTTGCATCTCGAAGAACTTCACAAAATAAATATGTAAGTCTTTTGCTACGAGAATAAGATATACTTGAGTAAAGTAAACGTCTTCAGGTACCTTGTCAACCAAATTAACGGCACCGCCACTTATTGCGTTGTAAATTTTAATGCTTTCTGAAGCGACCTGTTTTTGTGTGTGATGTTATGGAAAAAAAAAAGACAATTGACTGTGTCAGTAGTCATTTATCTAATAGTGATAGTGATAGTAAAAGAGGAAAAAAAGGACTTACGTACCATGGAAAGGGCCAACTGTATGATGAAATTATGAGTCGCAGCTCCTTGCGGCTGTATGCCCAAAATTTATGAGTTCAAATTTATGAGCAGAATGTAGAAAAGCTAAATATGGAAAATTATATTTTCACCAAGCTAATGGACCGTTAGATTCTCATAATACAAAAACAGGGGCTGATGAATTATCCATCATGGTTCAACTGATGAAATTTAGATACAACCTGACAGCCAAGTACACGGTGAAGTAGTTGTTGCAAAGCTGGTAATTGCTCAAGTAAATCTGGAGTGTCGAGATCTTTTGTCCTCTGCATCAAGATTTTCATTTATACGGGAATCAGATAACGGAAAGTACAAAAACTTAGCAAAGATTTGCATTTAGAATGAATCAGACAAAGAAAAGTGCAAGACTTCATAATTTTATATCATGAAACGAATTTACAACAGAATTATGAAGACAAATAATTTCTTTGATTCCATTCATGTGAAGCCGTGAAATGCGCACAGTGACTGTAACTAGCACTAAGCTTGAAATAGAACATTAGGGTCTTCAACATTTTCCAAGATGATTATACCATAATTTTTGGATAAATCATTACGCTAAACACAATGCATCTTTCAGGAGAAGTACGACTCGATATCAAAAGAGTGTCTCATCAGCTAACATAGAACCAAAAGGTATGGCTTTTGCAAAAAAGCAATCCAAATCTTAAGATCAACTAAAACTTGCAAACACAGGCTAACCCACGCAGGAAATTGCACTATACTTACAAAAACAAATAATACATAATTTGAAAATTCTAAGTTACAAATTACAACAGGACCAAAGATAATGGAAGATGAAGCATCAACAACAGAGATCTCAAAAATAATATAAAATAAAATCCATTTCTTAATAGGTCAAAGTTAAAAATAGGCAGATTCTTTCTCACAATATTACACGGTCTACATGTGACAAGACAAGAAACAAAATTTAATAATTATTAAATGTACTCAAAGAAATGAAAAATAAAGTAGAAGAGTAATACAAAAAGAAATATCACCACATTATCACGATCTGCTTCTATGTCATACTTCAACACTCTGAAACATTCCAATCTTTCCTCCAAAAATAATGCATAAGACCGCACCCAAGCAGAATAATCCCAAGCTGGCGAAGTATTAACAAGCAATTTAGGAATGAAAGGTATTTCATTATTGAACTTGTGATAGATTAGCTAATATTGGACAAAGCCAATACCATATTACCATTAGGACTGGAGTCATCCTTGAAATGGGCCAAGTTTAGCATATGGCTTTTGCTCCTACCATAGTTGATGATTTCTTCCTGGAACGAGGGGTCCACCTCTCTCAATGCACGATGGATGACAATCAATGTTTTCAAGGCAACCTACAAAGTGAGATTAAGGTAATTAACAAGGATCAGAACTAGACAATACATTTCTCCAGTCACTAGATCTATTGATGGCAGAACCAATTTTTTTGTTTGAATTGCTTGTACCAAGAGAGGCAAGAATATGTTCAAGAGCCACCCAGAACAATCATAGACACATTAGCACTGACATGGATAATCACAAATTTAATCTCCAATATACTCATTTGCAAACGAATGAAACAACAACATTATATAAATCCAAGTCAGTGAAATCTCACATGGTAAAGAAAATTATAACAAGAGCACCCTCAGCATACTTCACATTACTATAAAATATTACGAAACTGGTTTACAATTGAACAAACAACGTATCATGATTTTACACAGCTGTAAGCAACTGCTAGAAAATCAGTTAAACGAAATTTGGTTTGACCAATTTTAACTGATTTTTTTATGGCTTAATATTTAATTCGGTTTAAATTAAATTGTGTAGAAAAACTCTACGTTCCGAGTAGATTATTCATAGTGTATTTATTTTCTCAAAACTAATTTTCGGTGAGTGAAAAATAAATGATTTAGATAGTCATTAATGGGCACGTAAAACATTGCTTGTGGGATTCGAAGGGTCATATCCACATTTAACTCTTAAGTGAGAATAACTCTCTTTATTATTAGTTCTCTTTATTATTAGTTGGAGAGATCACAATAACAACAAAGCTATGCACTACACGTAGGTGTTGGCTTCGGCCACACACACGTCCGTCCGACCGGCCAGCTCGGCTCGGGCTCGGGCACGGGCACGGGCATGGGCACGGGCCTTGTTTGACTTTCACTTTTGCCACTTGGTATTTAGCAATTAGACTGTTCGTTGGACTTGAGCGGCCTTGGACGGTATAGGCTGGTGTTAAGCTTGCTCTTTGGGCCCATCCCTTATAATTTTTTGTTGCAAATTTATTTGCAAAGTTGTGACCCAATATTAAAATCTAAACTGAGTTGGATTTGGACCTAACCCATGTGACCCTCACTAGGTTCACTGAAGTTGGACGTATTTGACTGTTTCGGTAGTTTTGAGGTGAAGTGATGGTGTGTTAACACCTGAAAACGAGTTGTTACGTGCCACTAAAACTTTTGATCATCCCATACTTGGTTAGAAATCCTATAAGTAGAACGTGGTAGAGTTAGAGAAGGACACTCATGCATAATTTGAACTATTGATATCTGAAAGCCTCACGCATAATGTATGCTCAATTTTTCTCTGTTCAAAGTTCGTCGGAGCTCGGAAGACTGAAATGCTATAACTTTTGAGGCATACCCGTTTATCTTTGGGGACGAGACACCTGAATCCGTCAGCACATTACACGAGGCATATTCGTCTTGCAGCAACTATCGCATCGACTTATTCTTTTCCCACATCAAGAAAGTTTGTACTGTTGTTTTCTGTTTTAAGTTCAAATAATAAGAACTTAAATATACTATTCAACAGTTCATAGGTTTTCCCATTGAACTCAATACTCAAGTTGTATAATCGCAAAAAGTGCCTACGACGAATAACTGATGGCATCGGAGATGATTCGAATACTCAGCCTCAACAACCGATCAACAATGTTGTTCCTCATCATCATCTCATACCTGTTGTCTATGTACCAACTATTGAAAAGCGCGAAAAATTCAATGGGCTTAATTTCAAGAGATGTCAGCTGAAGATGCACTTTCACCAAACCATTTTTTTTTAATAAAAAACAACCCAAGAAGGGTGTGTTAACACTTGAAAACGGCCCGACCGTTTTGATGCCCATTACAACAGCCAATGGTGGCTTTTACCTGCCCTTTTCCCTTTGTGTCAACTGACTTTTGGTCATCTCTAAAGTCTTATAAATAGGACATGGTAGAGCTACAAAAGGACACTCATGCATCATCTGACATCTGAAAGCCTCCCGCATCATATCATACACCGCATCACATCATACATAGTGCTCAATTCTTTCTCCGTTCAAGACTAAAGTGCTAGAGCTTCTGAGATGTAGTTTTTGTATTTTTGCGGACAAGACGACTAAAGTCATCAGTACATAAGGGCGTATTTGTCTTGCAGAAAAAGCAACTCTCACCATGGTTGATTCACTTCCCTCATCAAGATCATCGGTATTTGAATTTTCTATTTTACCCTTTAGCCTTTAGTGAATGGAATTTTTTTCGAATACACTTATACATTTGCAATGGATTGCATTTTGATTTTCCTATCATCGATCTGCGCATTTGAGATTAGTCAGCCAGAGTCCGACCACTCCGACCACTGAATTAAATGTCGAACTAACTTTTATAAGATTGTTAAAATCAGAAGGGGGCACCAAACAACATAGAGATGGTGAACCCATCCCAAGTTATATGTAAACATGTGTAGAAGGAGAACTCTAATAAGGAAAGAGACGTTATTTGGGAAAAAAGACGTTATTTGAACCATGTGTATGGAAATATAATAATGACTGTTAAAGACTTGAAGCCATAAGTGTGCTAGTTAGAGGGAACTTTCCTCATTAGTTTAGCCCCTACCTCCACTACGTATTGAATATAAAATATATAACTACTTCATCATCATCATAAAAGATAAATAAATAAAAATCTCCACCATTTTTGGTATAGTTCCAATAAGTTGTCTTATCTTTTCAGTCCAATTATAAATTAATTAAAACATTCCTACCACAATCACACATTATAAACATTGTCGTGATACATACCGCCCAATTACGAGTTTTCGACAATCTTCTAGCAAGGGCATGAATGCAATAAGCAACATCAGCTCGGGGTCTGGTGGATGATATAGCAGCAAAGACAGCTGAAATGTATAGTATAAACCATCAAGAAGGTATTTCCTTACAAAGGCTATATATCATAATACCACCATAAAAGCAAGATAAATATAGGTATAAAGATTTTTAATGAATATCCACCTCTTATGTGCCTCTCTTTTGCAGGGCGTTCATGGTGATTTGTTGCCTTAACGATCGCAATGTCCAATTCCTGTAAAAGGAAGTACCCAAATGAAATCAGAAAACATTAAAACCAAAATAGGTGTTAGGAAAAACTGAACACTACCTTATAGTCACTGTTGATTTTCGCCAAACTAACAGTGGTTGTGTCCTTCAGTGTACCAAGAGTTTTCCTTAAACTGTTCTGTGTACCACCACTTGACATCCTCTCTTCTAATTCTACAATAGGATACAACAAGCTAGTGAAATACTGCTTCACGAAATGCTCAACAGCTTGCAAATAAATAATAATCTAACATTAAGAAAAAGAATAAGAAAAAGGAAAGAACAGACAGATCTCATATAAACCCATGCTCAAAGAAATAATTTTGTAATCCCAAGTTTCAACATAATCTAAATCTATAATGACATAAATCAGCCATGTCTCAACAAAATAAAAGGGAAAAAATGATGACCCAACAAAAGTGAAAACCCCAACAGTTGACAAAGTTGAACAGTAGCACAAAAAAGAGCAATTAAATAACAAAATGAGTTCAATAAATTATTACAGGTTATGTATAGAAATTACTCCCACAGCATTTTAGTACACAATAAGAGGAAGCTCATAAACTCCATCCCATCTGGAGCTCCATCAATATAATAAATGCTAATCAAGATCATGAATCAAACTTTTAGTACCATCAAATCTAAATCTAAGCTGACTGATATGTCCGCTCAAGTAACCTCACAAGCATCGAATCAGTCTCTAAACAAAAATCTACTGAAAGCAAGCATACATAAAATCAAATCGGCATAATAACACAAACCATTATTAATATTGATCAAGATACTACATAGAATTAAGTGAACACTGATTCGAGAAAATGAAAAAAAAAAAATGTTGATAGATCCAAATAAAATCAAGAATATTCATTAAATACTCACCTTTTCCAGCTCAAGCTTTCAAAACACTGAAATAAATGGAAGTAACAGCAGATGAATATTTGAATTAAAAGTAGAAAACACAGATCAAAGAATTGAAGAAAAGGCTGACTTTTAGCCTAGGAATGAGGTAAGGGGAGGGGTAGAGAGAGAAGGTGTATTTTTCTTGGTGGGCTGTTTCTAGAGAGCACTTTGAATTTATTCTGGTTGGCCGTCGGCGTCATTTTTCTCGCTTTTTCAATTTTAATTGCAAAAGCACGATACAGTGATGCATAGAGCTAGAATGAGCACAGAAAAATAAAATGTTATAGAAAATAGGAGAGTTGGTGGAAATATTTGTGTTTGTACAGCTTCTATACTCTGTGTCTGTGTCTCTACAGTCCACGCCATTTATTTTATTTTTTATTTTTCAGTTTCTTTTCATTTTTTAAGATTGAGCGAGTTTCAATCTTGTATCAGTTGTCTTTGCCCAAAATGAAGACATTTCCTCTCATTCAAATGTTGTAAATTTATGGGGCTATCTATTTTTAAGATAATTGTGTTGTTTGTTAGTTTTGTTTTGATTTATGGGATAAAATGGGTTGTTTTGAATAAAGTTGTGTGTTATTTTAGTTTTATTTTGGTTTATTGGATAAAATGAGTTATTTTTAATAAAGTTGATAGAGTAAAATTTTAAGTTGATATTATATATTATTTAAAATATAATGATAAAAGTTAATTCCATCTAAAAGTAGGAGATGGTGATTGGAAGTGATGAACAATGAAAATTATGTGAGTGAATGAATAGTGATTAAAGTTGATTTGATGTGTAAAAATAATTGATAGATATTATTAAAATTATGTGAGTGAATGAATAGTGATTAAAGTTGATGTGATGTGTAAAAATAATTGATAGATATTATTAATTATATTGATAGTAGTGACAAAAATTAGGGTGAGTTAAGTTTAATTAAATGTTTGAGTTGAAAATGTGTAAATGATTGATTGAGTGGGTGGAGTTAGAAAACTCAATTCTAATCCCCCTTTGATGAATTGGTCTATGATACATTCTAATACCCGGTCTCACTAGAATAGTTCCTTTTCTTTTTATTTTTCTCATCTTAAAATAATAGTAGTGCATTTGTAAGTTGATTCACTACTTCATACTTGTTTATCCCTATGTATTGACTTGTTTTCCAATTTTAGAACAAATAATATCAAAAGTTGTGAAATAAAAATATAACAGAAATTATCGATATTTATATATGTGAAAAAAATATGTGAATATTGGAATGGGAGGAAGGGAGAGTATGTTCATATTCAGTTCCCACTCACTATTTATATATGTGAAAAATGTTATAATCGGGTATAAAAAATTACACGGGAATCCTACGAACTGATATGTAATTTTCAGTTCTTATAAATAATCTAAAAATAGAAAATTACAATAGATCTGAAAATAAATTATAACTTGGAAAAATAGAAAGATTTTAGCCGAGGCGAGTAAAACTCTTTCCGCAAGAAGAATACGCCCCGTGTGGCTGCTAACGGTTCAGGCGTAACTTCCCCAAAGATACAACGGCAAACGTCTCTAAATCTGTAGCACACCAGATTTACGAGCTCCGGCGAACTAGATCGAAGTTGAGAATTGAGCACTTACAAAATAGAAATAAAATTATCTATATGATAATTTTTCTATAATTTTTCTCACAATTTTTTTTTCTTTTTCTCTTTCCTTTCTTTCTTCTTTTCCCTTCACCTCTATTCTTTTCCTTCTCGTCTTTGGTGTGTTTTTTCCATTTGCACCAAAGTGGTATTTATAGCAAATGGCAACACTTTGATGGTTGAATATTTGGTTTGATAGTTTGGAAAATTTGATGGTTGAATATTTGGTTTGATAGTTTGGAAAAATTGGATATTTGGTGTGAATATTTGGAAAAGTTGATTTTGGTTGGAAGATTGGAATTGGTTTAGAAATTAATTCTACACTCAAATTGACTAACAATCCCCCACATGAGTGTAAATTAAAATATATATACTAGTGTGCTCAATCCTCGCAAAACTCTATTACATCAGAAAAGGTAGCTTTGGGCTTTGAACCTTTCTTTGTAAACATCATCGGATGCACTGGCGGACTAGTGGACATGATGCCTTGAACTATTCCTCCGTAGTGTACACAGAGACAATGACATTTACACAATAGAGTTTTCACTCCATTCCGTTCTATCGTGGTGTCCGTTTTGGCCATGGACAACACAATGGATTCATAAGTGTTTACATTTGAAGCGGCCCACACTTCACACTTATATAGGTGACCTCCCTATCAAGAGTATCCTGTTATACTCCACCTTTACAAGGTTAGGGATTCATTAAAAGTCCATATGACTTACCCTCACCACAATTAACAGGTCATCTTGCACTTGGATTGCTCTAGGGATTAGCTTTGGACATTCATATATTCCAAGTGCTCAACTGAATTTTCATAGCTTAGTTTTCCCTTTGAACCAAGTTCGTGGGATATCCACTCAACATGGTAGGGTTACCACTATGACCATTCTTTACATTGTGGATTTTTAAGCCCATTCCCTCTAGCAGAACTACCAATTGATCTCATTTAATCCTTTCGTCAAAGGATCAGCCAAATTTTCCTTAGACTTCACATAGTCAATGGAAATAACACCATTTGAGATCAATTGGCGTACGGTATTATGTCTACGACGAATATGTCTAGACTTACCGTTATACAAGTTGCTTTGCGCCCTACCTATAGCTGCTTGGCTATCACAGTGAATCATCACAGGCGGTAAAGTCTTATTCCAACATGGAATATCAGATAAAAAATTTCTAAGCCACTCGGCTTCTTCACCAGCTTTATCTAACGCGATGAACTCCGATTCCATCGTTGATCGAGCTATACACGTTTGTTTTGTGGATTGCCACGAAACTGCACCTCCTCCAATACAGAATACATATCCGCTAGTGGAGCGAGAATCTCTCGAATCTGATATCCAGCTTGCATCACAGTACCCTTCAAGTACGGCTGGATATCTCGAGTATTTTAGCTCGTATTCAAGGGTGTACCTCAAGGATTTAAGTACCCTTCTCAAAGCATTCCAGTGTTCATGACTGGGATTGCTCGTAAATCTGCTCAACTTATTCACCGGGTAGGCCAAGTCTGGTCGTGTACAATTCGTCAAGTACATCAGACTCCCTATTATCCGTGAATATTCCAACTGATCCACTGGTTGACCTTTATTAGCTACCAGATTTATACTAAGATCAATGAGTGTCTTACACCTAGACTGTGTCTCGTCATAGGTATCAAACTTTCTTGAGCACTTTTTCTACATAATGAGATTGTGACAAGACAATTCCATCTTGGGTTCTGATAATCCTTATTCCAAGAATAACATCAGCCAAACCCATATCTTTCATGTCGAAATTTCTTTTCAACATTCTTTTCGTATCCATGATCACTTCATGGCTACTCCCCATGATCAACATATCGTCTACATATAGACATACAATCACAAATGTATTTGATGTACCCTTGACATAAACACATTTGTCACATTCGTTGATTTTGAACTCATTTGACAACATCACTTCATCAAATTTCAAATGCCATTGTTTCGGAGCTTGTTTCAGTCCGTACAATGATTTGGTCAATCTACACACCTTTCTCTCTTGTCCAGGTGCAACAAACCCTTCAGGTTGTTCCATGTATATTTCTTCTTCCAATTCACCATTCAAAAATGTCGTCTTGACATCCATTTGGTGAATCTCAAGATTGTGCAAAGCAGCAATCGAGAGAAGCACTCTTATCGACGCTAAACGCGTAACTGGTGAATAGGTATCAAATAAATCATACCCTTCTTTTTGTTTAAAACCTTTTACCACCAATCGTGCTTTAAACTTATCAATCGATCCATCAGCTTTAGGATCCATTTACATCCTAAAGGTTTACAACCATCAGGGAGATCAACCAACTCCCAAGTATGGTTTTGCATAATAGACTCGATTTCGCTATTAACAGCTTCTTCCCAGAGTGGTCCATCTGGGCTGGACAGAGCTTCCTTAATGGTACTCGGTTCATCGTCCAACATATACGTAATAAAATCAGGTCCAAACGTTTTCGCTATTTTTACCCTTTTACTACGTCTTGGTTCTTCATCAGTACCATCTGGTACAGAACCATTAGCAGTTTTATATGTTCGTTTATTAGAACTAGATTTTGCTCTTTCCTTCAGAGGAAAAATATTCTCAAAAAATATAGCATTCCTCGACTCAATCGTGGTACCCACAGATACCTCTAGATTTTCTGATTTATGAACCAGAAATCTATATGCCATACTATTGTACGCATATCCAATAAATACACAATCGACCGTCTTTGGCCCGATTCTCATTTGTTTGGGTTCAGGAACTGAAACCTTAGCCAAACACCCCCACACTTTCAGGTACTTATAAGACGGCTTACGATTTTTCCACATTTCGTAAGGAGTCTTATCTTTCCCTTTAGGTGGTATTTTATTCAGGATATGATTTGCTGTTAAAACAGCTTCCCCCCACATGTTTTTGGGTAGTCCCGAATTTATCAACATGGCATTCATCATTTCTTTTAACGTACGGTTCTTGCGTTCAGCAACACCGATCGACTGTGGAGAATAAGGGGCCGTTGTTTGATGAATTATGCCATATTCAGAACATATTTGTTCAAAAGGAGCTACATACTCCCCACCCCTATCACTTCGAATTATTTTAATCCTTTTGCCGAGTTGATTTTCATCTTCGGTCTTATAGATTTTAAACGCTTCCACAGCCTCGTCTTTGCTTCTTAACAAATATAAGTAGTAAAACCTTGTGCAATCATCGATAAAAGTTACAAAATACTTTTTACCGGTTCTTGTTTGCACACTTTTCATATCACATACATCAGTATGGATCAAGCCTAATGGTTCAGTACTCCTTTCCACCGAGTGAAAAGGCAACTTAGCCATTTTTGCTTCAACACATATTTCACATTTTTTATATGATTCAATTTTAGAATTAGGAATTAATTCTAAATTCATCAACCGTTTAATTGCATTTAGATTTACATGTCCCAATCTAATATGCCATAAATCAGAGCACTCAACGGTATAAACAGAAATAGGTTTTTCATTATCAACGGTTACACGGCTCACGGCCATTACATTCATTTTGAACAAACCCTTATCGCGATAGCCACGACCAAGGAATGTTCCAAACTTGCTAAGAACAAACTTCTTAGCATCAAACACCAACCTAAATCCATGCTCAACAAGAAGAGATCCGAAGACCAAATTCTTGCGGATGTCTTGGACATGCAGAACATCCTTAAGCTTTAACTCCTTTCCAGAAGTTAGCTTCAGCACCACAGTGCCAACTCCAGCCACAACAGACATGGAGGAGTTTCCCATGTAAACTTTC